TTTAAAAGAAATAAAAGCAAATATTTCTTCACACTCTACACAGTCATAACAAGTTTAAAAAACAACAAGAAGTTGACGGAGGATTGGTCCAGCAATGGCTATTAGCCAAGATGGGCAGGGATTGTGTCCCTAGTTTATGTCTGCCAGAAGCTGGGAATGAGCAACAGGGGAGAGTCATTTGATGATTCCCTGTTCTGTTAATTCCTTCTGGGACACCAGGCACTGGCCACTGTTGGAAGACAGGACTCAGGGCTAATTGGCCATCCTTACATTACGAGATGCCTAACATTGAATATCTGCACTTATTAGGAAGGTCCCCGGCAAAATCACTGATAAATCAGGCTCTTCATCTGGTGCCATTTATGACTTGGAAGACTGTAATTATGCACTGACCAGCCGCATCACAGGGAGCTCTGACACATCACTAGGGGGGTACTATTTCCAGTGGCCAGTCCCTCTTTTGCTCTTCTCTAAGGAAATCATCATCATCAGAGTCTATCTGCTTAGAAGTAAATGACTTGGCCTTCCCAGTAGAGTTCATTGCTACATTTAGACTCCAATTGTGTAACATTTCCCAGGCATCTCCAGTGAGAAAGGGGTAGCAGTTTGCAATCTGCAATGCCATCTAAGGCCATGTCAACACTACAGAGAAGACCAAAGCTGCCGCAGTTGATCTTTGGGGGGTTCAAATGAGTGGGTCTAATGAAGACCCACTCATTTGAACCAAGAAAGCACTCCCATCGATGCTAGCAGTCCTGCTCCTATGAGGAATAAGGGAAAGCAAAGGATTTAAGATTCTTCAACACAAGCTACGCCATTAACTTAGCTGGAGTTGTGCATCTTAATTCGAACTTATCCCCTAGTGCAGACCTAGCCTAAGTGAGGCTGGGCAAGAGACATGGAATTTGGACAGGACATGCCAATCCTTCACCATGTAATTCAACTTGGGCTTCTACCTGATGTTCACATGACGTAAGCCATTGACTGACTTTTTCATTCTAGGCTGGTATATCAGGGACCACAGAATTTTGCGTTTTACTTATTTGGTGGTTCTTTGCTTATTAGGAAAGGTGTGAAGATTCATTGTTCTATTTTCCATGGCAGTTTATAAAAAATATCCTTGGGAAGTTGTTATTTTAAAGCCACGTTGCTAACTTCATATTTTCTCACTTTAACATTTAGCCTTCCCAAGATCTGCCTATAAGTGAAATGTTAATTGCACATGGAATTCTAAAATGGCTTTTTGATGCTGAACCTTATATTAGAAATGTTAATTTTCTTATTGTTTGGAGAAAGGGCACAGATATCAGGTTCTTTAAGTTGTCATGATAAGCAGAAGACTGCCTGCTCAGATAACCAGATTCTCCAAATTCCAGGGTGCCATAAGAGAATTGTATGTAAACTCACAAAATAGCTGCCAAGTTCTACAGGAGTCTGTTTATTTAAGAAATATCAATTTTAAGAAGTACAGCAACATTTTAAATACTTCTGTAGGCATGTGAACAGAAAGACACAGTTCTACATTTGAGAACTCAATTTTTGATAACTAGTTTCATTTTCTTGTCTATTACTATTCTAATTGTAGAACACTGTTGATCTTTATAATTTATCCTGAAAAATGATCTTAAAAATGATAAAGCTACCTCCTAGAAAGCAACACCTGTTCATGTCTTTCATCATTAACATCTGCTGCTGACAGAAATTACACTCATTGTCCAGATGCAAGGGGATGTTGGAAGCCTTGTATAGGACGGGAAACTGGGAGCAGTAAGAGTGATGCTTATTGGGTAACCGGTTAACCGTTTACATCCCTACCTAGAACCAATTCATGTGATTGTGGAGAAGTAATTTAATCTATGTATCTCTTCATCTGTAAAAGAATGATAAAATACCAATCTGAAAGTAGTATGATTATTCAATTTCCTAAAGTAACTGAGAGGTAGCCGTATTAGTTTGATCTTGGAAAAGCAAAAAAAGCAGTCATGTAGCACTTTAAAGACTAACAAGATAGTTTATTGGAACTTTTGTGGGGCAGACCCACTTCTTCAGATCACCATGAAGAAGTGGGTCTGCTCATCACCTAATAAACTATCTTGTTAGTCTTTAAAGTGCTACATGATTGCTTTTTAAAATTTCCTAAAGTGCTACTTAATTTACTCAAAAGCGGCGAGGAGTCCTGTGGCACCTTATAGACTAACTGAAGTGTTGGAGCATAAGCTTTCGTGGGCAAAGACCCACTTCGTCAGATGCACGTAGTGGAAATTTCCAGAGGCAGGTATAAATATGCAGGCCAGAATCAGGCTGGAGATGACGTCCTACTACGGGAAACATGAAACAGGCTATCAGTCCTTTACTACTCAAGCACAATCCAGCACACACAGCAAAATGCATATGGATACTGAAGAAGAAAAAAAAAAATCACAGAACCGCATTAAAATTCTTTTATGTGTATTGTAATGTTTCTAAATATCCTTGCTGGACAGCAAAAACATACCCATTCTATTGTATATACCTATTCTGTACTAATCATTGTAGTTCGGGATGTAAGAGAGTAGCTGTGTAAATGGGTAACCAGTAAGCATAAGCTTATCAGTTACCCAAACTGCTACACAACTACATGCAGCTCTTGGGTATCAGAGGCAATAGCACGGGGAAAGCGGGGAGAAGGCCAAGCGGGAGCCAGTATATGTGTGGAGCTGTCTTAAAAACCAGCTCCCCACATGCACTGGCTCTTGGGGAGCCTCCTGATGCCCCATGTTGCTGCTTCTGTATCAGAGGCAGCGTCGCGAGGCAGCAGCCAATTTCCCAGGTGCGGGGTGAGAGGCAGGAGCCAGTACGCATGAGGAGCTTCCTTAAAAGCCAGCTCCCAGCACACACTGGCTCCCACGGAGCTGGCTGACGTTCCACTGAAAATTTCAGTGGTTTCACGGTTAATCAATAGCACACATTTTAGCATCCCTAATTGTAGCATCTGAGCACCTGATATTTTTCCTTGTAATAGAGACTTTAAGGGCAGAAGGGACTATGATCATCATTGGAGTCTGATCTCCTACACACTGCAGGCTAAAAAAATCTCACCACCTACTAACCTCTAACCTCTGGCTGAATAATTGAAATTCTCAAATCATGATTTAAAGACCAGGTTTTACATAGAATCCACTATTTCTACTAGTTTCACCCCACAAGTCACTCATGCCCTATGCTACAGAGAAAGGCAAAAAACCCTCATGTCTGATATGGATACACTCTCTGGTCAGCTACAATAATTTGTAATAAGCATTTCATTGAACTTAGTAATTAAACAGACTGATTTTCTCTGATTTATTCTTTGCCGATTTTTTTTCTTTTTAAAAAACCCTATGGCTTGATATCTGAGCATCATCATTTAGGTGACATTGATTATGTAAGCTACATAGTATTCTTTATCTTCCCTGGTTGAATGAGACTACCTTATGATTATTTATCCAATATGAATGTTCATGGAAAGCAAAATACAAAATGACAATTTTCTTTAAAAGGTCAAACAATTATTCATGGGAACTTTTTGCACTATTCACCCAAATCCAATCACTATATTTCCATGATATACTCTATCCTTTTGCTCCTGATGGCTATATATGTACAGAAGCGATATGTTGCTAGAGGGGAGAAAAGAAGCTACAAGTAATACATTTTATCTTTACACTACATACAGAGGTTTTTGAAAATCCACTATGTAAGAGCATTGTCCTACTCTCACTACTAAATTCATTTAGTGTGCATTTATTTAAATAATCCGTTCTGAAAATACAGACCTTTCATTTTCTATTAACTTCCAATGAAAATTAGAAGTCTCCTTTGTAGATTTGACCATTTAAATGAAAGCACAATCTTCCAATCAGATGGGGGAGGGGGGGAACAAATTTTCCTCTGCTGCAGTATTTCAAACAATTCAGCTAACACAAAAAAAGGAATAAGACTAAGGCGTTTACAGAGGAAGAGAGCTTTCAACACACAGTGTCCTGAGAATAGCTGTAAGCTGTGAAATGTCTCTTCTGTGTTTATTATCAGAGTTTCTGAGAGGTACTAGTAATTTCTGCTTCTTCTTTTCTTTTTACTATTTCAAATTAAACTTCTATCAGGAACTATACTAGTCTGCTTTTCTTCTTCCTAAACAGAGATTGCTAAAGACACAAAACACAATGTTCCTCCAACGCTCAACAGAAAGCATCTCTTTAGCTATGTGTCCTCTTTCTCCGTCAATGCCAAGGCACTGGCAGTACATTAGCAACTACTTATTTTTTTCTTCAACGCATGCCAAAAGTCAGCATAACACATTGTCCCCTGGCATCAAATAGACAGCACAGCTCTTCATTCTATGCCTCGCTCTTCATTTTATGTCCTCTCGAAAAAACAAAGCTAGAGAAAAAAAATCAGAGTTTTTTTCTGTAACAGCCTTACTTATTAGTGACAAAACAAAGCTAGAGAAGAAAATCAGAATTTTTTTCTGTAACAGCCTTACTTATTAGATTTAATTTCTTTACGGGGTTTAACTGAAGACGGAAGGTCTAAGACAGCCCAACCTGAAGGGCCACCTATGTTTTTCTTATGCAGGTCAATAATTAAAGGCATAGCCACCCCCACAAGAAGGTACTTTTGGCACCCCAGAAAAAGCAATTACCCAAAATAAGAGAATGTAATATTTCTCCTTTTTGAAGTCACCTACCAAAGGCATATTGCTGCTACAGAGACCAAGTTAGAATGTGTTGGGCATTCACTTCATCATACACAGCAAAACAGAGTGTATGTCCTGGCCAAGTTCGGAATATTTAGTGGTGAACAAACATTTAAAAGGAAGAACATTAATTGGGACATCTGTCATGTTTATAGGATTAAATCAATCAGGGATTTATATGAAAAAAGGAATGAAAACACAATAGTATGCACTACTGCACATTAGTTTACAGTTGCAACTGAATATAATTTTTTTTTTTTTTTTACGGAAGGGAAGGAAATCTTACTTTCTTAACTTTAACGCCGTCCTTTGGAGTTTGCTTTGTTGCAAGATTGTACCCAATCATCTGTTCAGCAAGTTGCGCAACAACCTTAGGGCTACGAAAGAAGAGAAAAATAATTTTTAGTGTGCATTAAAGACATTTTGGTCTGTTAAAACAGCCACTGCAAAAGCCTCAATACTATCAGTAGCATATTATTTATGTTTTTTAAATTTTAGACACTTACTCTTTAGTTAGATGTACTCCTCCTTTCAGTCCACTATTGAAAACACCTTTTCCTCTACCTCCAGCTAGGATTTGAGCCTTTAGAACAATTTCTGTTGCCTCTGAAAAAGAAAAAAAAAATACTTTTTGAAATAGGTTAATAGTTGCTTTGACTCAAGAAATGACATTTAATAGCACAAGAGTGTAAGTAGTACTGTAGTGGTAGAACATATTTCCAAGCAAATGAACTAATATTCAGAACCGCTGGAAAGTCTTACACAGAAGTCAGTTTTGTTCATAATATAACACACCAAAAAAGAGTTTGAAGTAGGTTACAAGAACATCTATGTGTTGCCAATTAGCTGGCTAAGTATGTTGGCATTCAGCCAAAACACTGTCATCAATCATGTATAATAGTGGTGGACAACCCGCAGCCCGAGGGCCACATGTGGTCCTTTGGGGTTCTATTGGTGGCCAGTGAAATATTTTATTTACCGTTGCCCATGCAAAGAGTTGCCAGATTTTGTTGGTTTTCATCCATATAGTTTTTCCCCTATCGGTATTAGCAGGGCTCGCGGAACCATGGCGAGCCCTGCTCACCAGCCGCGCTGTCCGGCGATCTGCGCATGGAACCCGGCTCTTCCAGGTTACAATCTACTCGCCACAGGTGAGTAGATTGTATAATTTGTCGAGCCCTGGGTATTAGCAAAGTGACATGCACGTAAGAAGGGCACATGAAGTGAGGAGTGTGCTAATTGCACACAATATTGTGCGAGTCGAGTGCTCTTGCTGTATCCCACTGAAGTGCTGCTACGGTTCAGTCGGCACCTCCCACAAATTCTAGGTGTGTAATTGCAGTTAGTAAATCTGCCCTATCCTGGGAGACCATCTTGGTTATGGCAATTTTGCAGCCCACTGGGATAAAGGAGGCCACTCATGCGGCCCCCCTACTAGCACACATTGCCCCACACTGATGTGCATAAAATTTGCATAATAACTCATGCAACTAGCACAGTTTGGTTCCCTAATTTTTTGAATTGTTTTCAATACACTGATCGGAGTATATGTCCTTTGAGTGGTCACATGTGTACATAGTAGCAGGCAAATGTTAGAGAGACTGGGAATTTCAGCCTTGATTGAAGCCCAAACAGGGGTGTGGACATGGGGATGCAAGGAAAAATCCCATCTCCAAGTGCAGGGTGGTTATGGAAGAGCTGGTACATTAATCCCTGGGCTAGCGAAGCAGCTGCTACCCCCACATGAGAAGCTTGGTCCACTTGATCTAATGTACAAACCCTTTCCCTGGTCTCAAGCTTGCCACTTTACAGTGGAGATCCAGCTATGTGGTGCATAAGGGATACACAGTGCCCCTAGGTACCAATTTATGTTTCCCTGTCCTCATGGAACAAAACCATCACAGGTCAGGGGCCTTGCATGCCCTCTTCAGCCCTGGAGAATATTCACCAGCAATAAAATACCCCGGTCAGAGGTGAACGGCTACTCCAGCCTCACTCTGCACTCCACTGTGTGTGTGGCCTTATACAGAGAATTAGCCACTCTCATCTCACTCTGCTTCCTTCGCCTACAAAGTCTGAGCACAGGGAAACATTCTGCCCACTATCCTGTCCATGCAACATCATACCGAGAGGTAACAGCTGCTCCCTGATGAAGTGCTATATGCACAGAGAACAGACACCATTCTTGTCTTGAGACACCATTCTTTTCTTTGTATTGAGGTGACTTGCCAGGCGATTCGTAGGGCTGCTGCTGCCTGATGGGTGCAGTTGTGAAGGAGGGGCTGGTCTGGCTGCTTACCAAGCAAGAAAGATGGGACACCCTCCTGCAAGCCAGGCTGAACCCCAGGGGGTGGGGCACAAGACATCTAACCTGACTGAACTTCACAGGGGGAAAATACAACACCCTAGGAGAAGTGATATAAGACTTCCAAACTGGAAGCATGTTATGTCTTCTCTTCTAGGCTGTCTTCTATATTTTCTCTTCTAGGCTGTACATTTCTGAGGCAGAACTCTCGTTTCCTGGCTTTGCACGGTGCAAATTAAAATGAGGTCCAGCATGTCTGGACTTTCTAGTCACTAATGCAATGTAAATGTTAAATTCTAATAATTATGGGGGAGGGAGTTACCCAATCAACCCAACAGGACTTGGTGCTGCATCTCCACTGAACCCCCCAATTCCCCATTCTTCCAAACTACTCCCTTCTCATCAGCTTGAGAAAGCAGAACATTTTCATATGAGGTGCATCATACTAAACAAGGAAGTGAGGGTCAGAGCTGAGATACCCCACAATACCCCCAATCCTCCAGAGCGGTGGTTCCCACTGCTGGTCTGTGGGCTGGTAGTGTGCCACGTACCGCTGCTTGGTGGGCCGCAGCACACTGCCAGGCCATGCCCCCAGCGTGTGCTGTGGCTGGAGCCAGAGCTGCGGTGAGGCTGACCCTACAGGTGATGCTGTGTGATGGGTGGCTGAGGTGCTCCAGGGTGAGGGAGAGCCCATTCTCTCCCACCCACTCTGGCGCTGCCCTGTGGCTCCCTTCTCTCTCAGGCCTCTTTGCAGGGGGTATGTGAATGCACGCCTTCATGGTCCGCCTGCTCCACACAACAGAACCACCCTGTGACCATGGGGCTTGAGGAACTGTGCAGGGCACTCCAGCCTTTCCGGGATGCAAAGTGAGGCACAGCGCTGGGCCGGGACACCAGGAGAGGGCCCCTTCTCCTCAAGTCTGCGCTGGGACTCAGCTGCATCAGCAGGCTACCGCCGGCACACCCGGAGCCTCACAGGCCCTTGCCGGATTCCCAGCGAAATCTGGGCCTCGCAGAAGTCCCAGGCAGAGGGAGGAGGAGTAGCAGGACTAGCCCTCCCGTCTTGTGGCCCCGCTACGCCACGTAACTCATACCTTCTACACCCCTGCTCTAGTCCCCATACATCTTCCCAGACACTGTACCCCCTCCAACATCACTCCTCAGGTCACAACCCCCTCCCAGACCTTGCATCCCAACTCAATATCCCTAGTTACAGCCCAAAGCCCAGCTCCTCCCCGCCCCAGGTTACAACCCCCTCCCAGACCCTGCACTCCCTCCTCCTACATCCCCTCCCCCATGCCAGAACCCTCTCCTACACCCATATCCCTCCCAAACCCTGCAACCTAATCCACTGTCCCAGGTCACCACCCAAGCCCCTGCACTCCTCGTCCAGGTCACACGCTCCTCTCAAACCCTGCACCCCCTCCTGTATCTCAGTTACTACATGTATTGTATGCATACAGGTGTGATGCAAAATAACATGTGATCTCTTAAAATAATTACCATAATGAATATGCAAATAAAATGCATATTCAGTCCGCCACAAGTTTGTGAATGGGTTTGCCAATCTGTGGTATAAAAAAGGTTGGGAACCACTACTCCAGAGCATATCCTGACCCTCCCACCTTCCTTTTTTCAGCCAAAGGACCATTGGTTCAAACATTTCAGCTGTTCTCAACTGCCATGGCACTACATAAGGTGAATTCACTTGTAGCCTGCATCCACACCATTTCAGCTTTGGAAATCAACTCCCAAAGACACTGGGTTCTACACTAGCTAAAGTTTCCAAATGATCTTTAAGGTACAGCAATTTTAAAGGCAAGAGTAATCTGAACTGGCAATGACAAAGACATGGGTAATTGCAGGGAGAGCATAAGAATAGCCATACTGGGTCAGACAAAAGGTTCATCTAACTAGTAACCTACAGTGACCATTGTCAGGTCCTTCAGAGAGAATGAACAGAACAAGTAATGTCATGTGACCCATCCCCTCTTTCACATTTCCATCTTCTGGCAAACAGAAGCTAGGGATATCACCCCTGCCCATCTTGGCTAATAACCATTGAGATCTACATACAAAAGAAAAAAGGTTCCACCTAATGTTCTAGCCAAGCACAGAAAGCAAAAAAACACTCTTAACAGTGCTGCAACCTGGATTTCCAAAAGTGTAACAGATTTGTGTTAACCTATGACTGTGTTAACTCTTGGTGTCCAAAAATGTTTCTTAATGATGACTAGCTGTAAGGATGCCTGCACATGTGTTATGAAGTGAGGAGGTCTAGATATTAATGCACGATAAAGCACTGCTTTGGAAAATGCTCACATTTAAAACGATTTCATGTTTTGTTCTTATGGGCTCTGACGCGATTCCTATTGAAGTTAATGGAAGGCTTTGACTTCAAAAGTCACTCATGCATATATTTTTGTATCTACACACATGCAAGAAAATGTGGGATTTGCTCAGTCACAATAGTTGCCGATAAAACTTAAACAACGAATGGTCCTGTAGCACCTTAGAGACTAACAAAAAAATATACAGTATCATGAGCTTTCATGGGCACAAACCACTTCTTCAGATGAGTGAAGCAAGAGGCACAGAGGAAGCATAGAACCCGCAAAATATAAAGCAGAAAAAGAGGGGAGGAGAAAAAAAAAAACCCAAAAAACCGTCAGTTACAGGGTCCATGCTAAATGAGGCTAACAGAGTAGGCTGCAAGTGTCTAATACTCAGGGCTTGACAAACCCCTGTGAGAGCTACTCGCCAGGCACACACCACGCATGCGCCAGACGGTAACTGCACATGCGCGGAGCACCGGTGAATGGGGCGTACAGAGCAACCGGCTGAAATCTGATTCAGCGGTTTGTCGAGCCCTGCTAATACTTATCTTTTTGATGGACACCATCACAGGACCTAACTACATAAGCTACCACATCAGAGGCTCATACAAATGCATCTCCTCTAATGAGATATATGCCATCAAGTGCCAGCTATGCTCCTCTGCCACGTATACTGGCCAAACTGGATAGACTCTATGACAGAGGATTAATGGACACAAATCACACTCAAAATGGTAACGCACAGAAACTTGTTGGGGAACATTTTAACCTGCCAGGGCACTTATTATTGGATCTAAAAGTAGACATTCTATTTCAAAGTAATTTCAGGAACCAACTAGACAGAGAAACTGCGGAACTGGCCTTCATATGAAAACTCAACACATTTACCCAAGGACTGAACAAAGATATTAATTGGATGGGATGTTATATTCAACACTTCAATGGCATGAAAGGCTAAGTATTGG